GACCCGCTCGGCGCACCTCATGACCTCGAGCGGCGCAACCTCCCTGATATGAATGCCCCAGCCGCTGCCGTCAGCGAGATGCTACGGGCCCCCCATGTGCCAACCCAGCTCGCCCACCGCCATCATGGTGGCAGCTGCTGGGCACTTGTCTGCCTTCCACGCGTCGAAGCAGGCGGGCGATGACTTGAGGACTCGCTGAGCTCAAGGCCACCGTCGCCCCCGGGCATGCGCCATCAACTCGCGTCGCCCGGGGCGGCCCCAAGCCTCGCACAGCCAGACTCACAGAGGGGCTAGCCTGAGCTGCTCAGCGCAGTCGGCCCCCGGCGCCAGCGCCCAGCCCAACGCGCCAAAACAAAAGGCCCCGACACCAGCCCTCACCGCCGCCGTCTTCGCCATCACGAACCCCATGACAGCAGGCGACGTTCCAGTACGGGACGCCCCATATGCCGCCGACGCTTTGAGGCCTTGTTGGGCTACGGGGCGCGCTCGCGCCCCCCGCCGCATGAACGCTGCCGCCTTCCTCCAGCGGCCCCGCGAGACCTTGGCCCTCTTTGCCCTGGGGGCCTTCCTGCGGAGGCCCTGGGGTTGGCAGTCGACTCCCAGCCGACGCTCGCTCTCGCCGTGCGGCAGCCCGATGTCGGCCGTCGATCCTGCCAGAGCCTCCGCCAAGTCGTTGCCAGTAATGACTTGCCCCGCGGGCCATTTGACACCTTGGGGCGCAGCAACCTCTCGAGCCAGGTCGCGAAGGCCTGGGCGATGACTGGGAAGAGCGCCTTCAGCCGCTTGCAGGTGCCCACCGCCCTCAGAGCAAGGTCGTCCACGAACTTGGTGAGATCCACTGTGGCCCATGGCCACTTGACGATCGGTTCCAATATAGGATGCAGCGCGAACTTCAGGAACCGAGTCGTAAACTTGGATCCAGCTGGCAGGCCCACGAAAGCGCGGACGGCATCGGCCAAGGCCTGCCCCTTTCGCATTACCCGCGGGAAAGCGCACGACTCCAGGGACAGCGCCAGCACACTCATGGGGAGGCACTGCGTCAGGCTGAAGACCCATATCATGTCGAGAGAAATTCATGCGCGCGCCTTCTCCACATCCACCAGCGCCGCGAGGGAAGAGAAACCCGTCCCGTCCAGAGCCTCGTCATCCAGCATGGCCCGCAAGACCGCGAGCTCACTGCTGCGCCCTGGGGCGGCCCAGTCTCGGGGCCAGGCGTGGCCCTTCTCCCGCTCGCGCACCATCGGGTCGCGCGCTGCCTCCCGCGTGCGGACAGGGGTGGGGAACAGCGCGATTGGTCTGGCACCCCCATCATCCTTGGCGACCAGGAAAAAGGATTAACATCTGGATGGGCGTGGGCCATGGGCATAGCCGCT